TCAGACCGCTTTCCTATAGGCACTAATCTCATTCCTGAGGGCTCTGCCCTCCCTCATGACCTAAGCACTTCCCAAAGGCCCCACCTTTAGTACCATCACATTGGGCATCTGCCTAAGAATTTGGAGGGGACACATTGATACCATAGCGACATAGTAGGTCTCGTCCTTGTGTGACCACTCTGTGAACACACAAACATGTAACAGGAAGCAGAGGTAATTACCGTTCTGACTGGTTCTTCCTCATTTTAGCTTTTCAGTGGCAGCAAACCATGGGCCTGCCTCTGAACCCGTCTTCCCCTGTTCTCTTTCTGATTGTCAGTGCCCTCCTCCCACTCCCACAACCCCTGTGCAGTTAACTGGGCTCCCCAAGGAGTCTCCCATGCAGCATATGAGATGAGCCCTGGTGTGGGAATTTTCCTGTGCGTGCTAGAAGGAATTTTTCAGTCTGGAAGTAATGAAGTTATAAGCATCAGAGCATTTCCGACTGGCACATTTTCTCGACGTGGCCGAGGTGCAAGGCTATGCACGTTGAATAAACACAGCTGCATTTGTTTTAGTGATTTCACATCCAGATAACTGCGGAGCATGTTTATAAATGCCCAGAGACTTTCTTCTCCTCTTGGGGCACGGAGGGCAGGAAATCAGCCCTTAATATAGTTCTCGTTTGAATGTGTGCGTGACGGGAGCCATCTTTACTCTTGAGTCACCATTAAGGAATGATTTTCATGATTCCGTGAAGACCCCATGTTCATCCATTCTCCACTAGCTGTTAGATGCCCAAAATTCCACCAGTAGAGCTTTATCCAGAGGCTAAAGCTTTCATCCCTGTTAAAATATACGTAGTTACTTAACTTTATTGTTTTAGACATTTGCACTATGATGTACATAGGATATAAAGTTATAAGAGCTCAAAAGACCATTGGTTATAAAGTCACTGGCACTTGGTTTGGGCCTGTTGGGAAGGGAGGAGTGAAAGTGCAACTTAGAGGAAAAGGCCATTGCTGGAAGCACAGAGAATCTGCATTTTCAAGAAATTTTGCCCAGGGCCTCTCCCTTCTGTGATTGTTTTCCAATTTATGAAAACAGTCCAGTAAGGAAGTGATTGAGTCTTATATCAGACATGGGTATATTTATGGATGTGGCTTTTAGTTAGATGACTTGATCTATAATTTCAGAGTTGTAACTCTGGAAACCAAGCAGAAAGCTAGAAAGAAAACACATGGACTTTAGCAGACAGGAGCCCCAGGTATGTAAAGAGCAGGGCAGGGAAAGAGAATTGTGAGGACAGCGGGGAGGTTGGAGATGAGAGCTTCCCGAGGGCCTGGCCAGGTCCCTTGTCAGAAGAGTTAGGTGCCTGCGCACAATACGGTAGAAAGAGCCTTCAAGAGGGCGATGGGAATCAGGACAAAACTCGAGAGCAAAATATCTAGAACTAGACTGTTTTAGAGGTGAAATAGTAGAGAATTGGGAAGGAAAGGATGGTGATAACATGCTTTTTAAAACTCCAGTCAATGGAAGGATTTGACCCCCATCCACCCAACCCCCCAATTTGTGTGTGGCGCCCAGGCTCAGTCTGCCTGCAGCATCATAAAGTCATCATTCTTAAGTTTTCTGATTGGTCTGAAATGATGTCATAAAGTCATCATTCTTAAGTTTTCTGATTGGTCTGATTTCACACACTCTGTCCCATTGTTGGAGACTATATTGTTTGGGGTCAGGAAACCACTACTTCTGTGTCCATACAAATGTCCTCTGCTGTGTGGTGTGTAAAGCCTTTTATATGTGAATTAAACACTAAGAACTCTTGTCCCTTGTCCCTTCCTGTGACCTTACTTGTGGTCCTGAGTTTCCTTTCTTGTTGAATAGCTTCATGATTCATCTTATCACTTGAACCAGAAACCTGAAAAAATCCTTGTTAGTTATCTATTTATGGGTAACAAATTAACCCAAAACTTAACAGCTTAAAAGAATAAACATTCATTATTTCACTCAGTTTCTGAGGGTCAGGAATCCAGGAGCAGCTTAACTGGGTGGTTCTGCTCAGGATGTCATACAAGGTTGCATTCTGCTGGCATCTCAAGGCTTGACTAAAGCGGGCAGATCCTATTCCAAACTAACTTGCACGGTCGACCTGCCTCGGGTCCTCACGGACTAGGGCCCAGAGGTGTCTACCACGTGGTTCCCTCCATAGGCTGCCAGAGCATCCTCGTGACATGGCAGCTGGATTTTCCCCAGAGCAAGTGATGAGAGAGAAAGAGAGAGGCAAAAGAACCCCTAAAATGGAAGTCAACAGATTTTTAAACAATCCATTCTCAGAAGTGATATCTGCCATCTTCTCCTGTTGGTCGCACAGACCAAGCCTGGTGTAGTATGCGAGGGGACTGCACAGGGTGTGAGTATCAGGAGGCCAAGGTAGCTGGGGGCCACCTGGAAGCCGGCTACCTCAGAGAGGCCTGCCTTTTCTTACCCTGTCATTCGGGGAATCACTAGGTCCTTCTCATTCTTCCTCTGCAGTGTTTCTCAGCTGTGACCTCATCTCAAATACGACTGTGTCTTCTGGGAAGAAGTGTGGAGGCTGATGGATGAAGCCTTGGGGATCGCATACCTAAGGGCACAGGGGGAATGCATATTAATAAGCTGGCATGGCCTCCAACCCAACCTTATAGGGAGAAGGAGAGCAGACCTCTTGGCAAGCCAGTATTTGCAGAGGATTTGTTCCCTGCGCAGGGAAGGAACGACCTGTGACACCAGGGAAATGAGGTGCAGCAAGGGGGTGCAGACACTTTTAGACTTGTGGTCAGCTCCCCCTCTGCGTGAGGCATCGCAAGTAGGTTTAACCCCACAAGTCTACTTAGATTGGAAGTGACTTCCTAGAGCTCTTGAAATGAGAAAAGTTGTGGGGGTCCATTCTGTTTTAGTGAGAAAGGAAGTCTTGATTCTCAAAGTCTGCTGTTGTCAGAGGAAGCAGGAGTTATGCCTGCCATTTGGCCCCTGGGAATACACCGTTTCCACTGACAACACTCACCTGTTGTTTTCAGGACCCTTCTTTAAGATGAGCCTTTTAGGAAAAAACAAAATAATAGGTAGAATTTTCAGAACTAGTCTTACTTGACCTAACCTACCTGAGCTATCTGAGCTGTTACGGCATCCCTGTCACCCCTACCCACCACCACCAGCCCCACTGGGGGGGAGGTAAGTCTGGCGGCATTCTCATTAGGTTCTTAAACAGCCTGAGGCTGGATAGTTAATGAAGGTTAAATCAATTAACCAAGGACCCAGGGGGACCAGCGTGGGAACTCAGACCTGGAAACTGATGGGAGAGTCTAGGTCTTCCATGAAATTTTGTGTTTGTTCTTGGATCTGTTAACTTGGATACAGAATTACAGATTTATGGACCAGGTCACCAGCCTGCACCCCATCCCCATTTTACATGTGACTCAGAGACACCAAGCGATGTTCCCACAGTCATTTAATATAAGTTGGTAACCCAGGCAGGACTAAAGTCTTCTGAGTTTCTGTATTTTTGCCCTGCCCCATGTCGAACCTGCGAGTTATCATGTACACCTCTAGGAAGGTAGACTGCACCTCCCTGTCTTCCCTGAGGTCCATTTTATTCTCTTATTGTGATCTTCCCTGAATGACCAGGCACCTCATTACCCAGGCTCCCTTGTCTTCTGTTTCCTGCTAGGTTTGATTGTTAGAAAAATTAGAGAGCAGGAGTTGGTGAGAACCAAGGTATCTCTTCTCTCCCTGCTTCCTTTGGTATCTCCAGCAGTGACTGAGCCTCCTCTGGTTCCACTGTGGACAGTCCCCACTGTGACTCTGACTTCTTCCAGATTGACCCAGTAACACCCAGTAACAGCTTCTCCAACCAGAGGCGTCACAGCTACTCACTCACTGCTGTGGCTAATCTCTGGATTGCCTCACTGTCCCATTTGGCTTCTCAGCTCTTCCAGCACTTGTATCACCAATTTCCTACGGTCAGTTACCTCTGTTTGTTAAGACGTAGGTTGGTTTCTCTTTTCTTTCCTGACCCTGACTGATAGAATAGGATTATCATTCTGTGTGTTCTTTAACATGTAGAAACACAATAAATGTTCAATCAGAGTGATATTAAGCAATCTGATTAAAACTATATCATATTTGTCGTAACTCTTGAAAAGCAAAAAGGGGAACCATTTTCCTAAGACACTTTCCTGATGGTCACTCTTGTGCCTTCTACATTGTGGTGTCAAAAGGATGTGTCCCTTTGAGCTCAAAGATCTTTTCTATCCCTGTCAGTTGTGACTTTATCATGGAAGAGATTGTACTTGGTATGGGTTGGTTTGTATTTTTTAACTGTAGCAGAATGAGCCCTGACATCATGCCATGGGTTCCCTACACTTGCTTTGGTAACGACTACACTTGGCCTTTCCATCACCAGCCTGGTTGTTGTGACCCATGGTCCTGTTTATATGCCAACCCCTGTTCTTGGCTCCCACACAAGGATTCCTGCAAGGGTTCCATTTGCGGTGGTGGTTTCTAACTTTGGGGTATCTGCCTGCCAGCACTGGATTTGAGACCACCAGCTTGTTTTTCCAAGCATTAGTATCTCAATGATCTCCAAACATATTTTCTGTTCCAGAATATTTTACAAAAGTTTTGCAAGAACATCTCTAAAGCTTTTTTCCTTTTAAAGGCATAAGGGCCTAAGGGGAGGGGCAAGGGTAATATAAATTTTAACTTGGCAGACTAATATTTAAAACTTTATCCAAAAAATATTTTTCCCTTAAAAAAAAAACACAACTCTCTTTACATATTTAAGTAATTCATTTGGGAGAAATTACTACTCAGCCAGCCCTTGGCAGTTTCGGTTCAAAATGCTTTGAAACGAGTCAACTACAAAGCCTCAAATGTTTTCTCTTTTAAAGTTCAACTTATCCTTCTCTACTATGGTGGTGAGAAAAGTGACAACTTATTTTAAAGATTCTCGCCTTTGTTTCTTTGTCTTTCTTCTGCAGGCCATGTGTTTATACTATGGGATCTCCCATAAACAACAGGGCCCTTTTTCCATGCCAGGAGCCACCCGTTGCCATGTCAACATGGCAGGCCACAGTCCGAGCAGCTGCATCTTTTGTTGTTTTAATGAGTGGGGAAAATTCTGCCAAGCCAACACAGCTTCAGGAAGGTACTGTACATGTGTTCTGTGCTTCTTTATGTACTGCACACATGCTGGACCCAGGAACCCAGCACGCAGTGGTTTCTGCAACTTTAGAGAGCTCCTTTATTATTTGGGCTGGACTAAACATACTATAAATTACCATCCTGCCGGAGAAAACAGCAGGGGGATGGGCAGGGGCATTTGGGAACCTCTGCATGGATGGCATGTGGGGCTCTTCACGCCAGCGTTATCAACTCCTAGATTACTTCAGCAGTTGCTTTGACCTGGCGGTTTGTGGGCCATAAGTGGGTGGTCTTGGTTGAAGACTTTCTGGGCAGACAAGTGTGTCATGGAAACACCATTACAATTGAGCTGTCTGTGGTTGGGTCATGGAGCCTGCACAAGGTCATTCACGATGCTGAGCGGCAGTGCTCCTGTCCCGGTAAAGCATCTGCTCTACACGCTGTTTGCCATGCAGTTCTGAACCAAAGATGTATAAGAAAGATGGAAGGCAAGTGCTAATGTGTCATCAAGGTTTTATCCGAATTACTTATGTAGTGCAGTAATTAACTCTTACATGTTGATGCCAGGTAAAATTTTTGTAATTGTAATATTTCTTCATTTAAAATATGATGTCTCCTTCCACAAGCTTATAGAAACTTGAAAATTTACAGGAAATTAAAAGTAATAAAATTAAATAATATTAGAGAAAATGGTTGCTAAGATTTTATTGCATTTCCTTCCAGTATTTTAAATCTATGCCTATAGTATGTACTATCATTTCGAAATTGTTGTCATAGCATGTAAGTTTTTTCACTTAGGGTGTATCTTGAATGTTTTAAGTAGTTTTCAAAACTATGATTTTAATGTCTGTATAATATTTGTTGTATGAATATATCAGATTTTATTTAACAGTTTTACATTATTAGGTATTTTTATTGTTTCCAGGTTTTTTTCCTATCATTAATAAAGTTGCATTAAATTCCTGAGGAGACATTTTATATAAAATTGGAATTATTGAGTTAAAGGTTTTGAGCATGTGTAAGGCTGTTACTACATATCTGAAGTTGTTTTCCAGCAAGGTTGTACCAGTGATACAATTCACATACCCATCAATAGTTACGAGGGTCCTTGTTTCCCGGGAGCGTCACCCATCTGATAGGCCAGAGAAGGTCTCCCTTTAATTTGGATTACTTCAGTTATCAATGTGATTTCATATGTCTTTATGTTTCTTAACCATTTTCATTTCCTGTCTGTTCATTTCCTTTGTCCATTTTTATACGGGGGCTTTAGTGAGGTTTCCAAAAATTTGTTTTGTCTTTTAATTTGATTGGCTCTGTAAAAAATAATGTTAACCTCATATTTGTGAAAAGTATTTTCCCCAGTTTTTAGTGTGCCTGTTAATTTTCTATGTTTCTGATCTATAGATTTTTATTTTTATGTAGTCAAATCTGTCACATTACTCTTTGAAAGTCTTTCTTTGACCTGAGATTCACCTGTTATAATATTTTTATTTAATTAAAAATTTTTTGTTTAATCTTGAATCTGTTTGTAGTTTATTCTGGTCAGGATTGTGAAATGAGGATTAAACTTTTTTTTTCCAAATAGGTAACCAGTTGCTCCATGATCATTTGTTGAATGTTTTCTGATTTGTGATATCTCCTTTATCATAAACTAGATATACACATGTACAAAGTCTTCAACAAGTATTTACTTGAGTCTCAAAGTAAAAAGAAATAATACATTGAAAAATTTTAGTTTTAAAAATAAGTTATATTTATATGGTTCATTTACAAATGAACAAAGGGCAAAAAATTTGCAATAAAGTCTTCTTTTTACTCTGAATTCCCAGCTACCCAATAACCCTTCCCCAATGTAACAAAGTCACAAATTTCCTTTGTATAATATATTTTTTCCTCTTTTGTTGCACAGATACAGCATGCTTTAAATGTTTGCATTGTGCGTCCCCCTTTAGAATAAATTTGTCTTGTACAGTTGTCTTGTAGATAATTTCTTATCTAAACATAAAGAGCTTCCTTATTATTTTTATGACTATAGAGTATTGCATAAATGGATGTTTTACAATTTAGTGAACCAATAGCTTTTGACTTCACTCTATATCAAATAAGAAATTTAATGGGCATTTACTTCTGTCTTTCCTCACCCACATTCCTCAGTTTTAATTAATACAATTTGGGGTTTAGGACTCATCTCTGTGTTTTGTTTTTGCACTATATCTTCTCTTCCAGGAATTACAATTATTGTTTTACATTTTCATCTAGTTTCAAATCATATTTGCAGTAAGTATTTAGATTATCTTTATTCTTGAGCTTTTAAGTTTGAGTTATCTCTCAGTCAGCTGGGAAATTGTTCAATTTTTTTTTTTCCCCTAGAAGGGTGGTTCTGTGGTGTATTTAGGTTGGCTTTTTATTGTATTCACTTATGAACAACCCTTGGCTAAGTATAAAATTTGTAGACTTCTTTTCCCTCCTAAACAACTATAAACACTTTCATTTTCATTCCTTAATTAGTGTTTCTGAGGAGAAATCTGATATCAGTTTTTTAAAAATTCTTTGAAAGTATTCTGATTTTCCTGCCTAGAGGCTTATAGAATTTTTTAAAAATTTATGCAATTCCCAATTTTCTAGAACAAAGCTCATTATGAGTACCTTTGTTTTTAATCAACTTTATTAAACTATAATTTACATACAATAAAATGCACACAGTTTAAGTCTTGTTCCATGAGCTTTGACAAATACATACACCTGTATGATTAATCAGCACCCTTGTGAAGATGTGGATGTGTCCGTCACCCGGGCACTAACTACCCTGTGCCTTTCCTATCCCTCTTTAGGTCATGCCTCCCTAACCCCTCTTCAGTCAAGCACTTATCTGATTTCCGTATTAATAGATTGGTTTTACCTCTCCTCAAAATTCATGTAAATAGAGTCATTCAATGTGTACTCTTTTGTGTCTGGCTTCTTTTGCTCAGCATAATGTTTTTGAGGTTCATTCATATTGCTTTAGGTGTCAGTAGTTTATTTTCAATTGGTGAATAGTAGTGCATTATATAAATAAACCATGGTTTGTTTTTCGTCTCACCTGTTTATGGACATTTGAATTGTTTTTAGCCATTATGAAAAATAATGCTGTGAACATTCATCTGTAAGTCTTTTTGTGGATATAGGCTTTTATTTCTCTTGGGTAAATACCTAAGAGTAGATTTGCTGGATCATATAAGTCTATGTTTAACTTTGTAAATATCTGCCAATCTATTTCCAAAGTGGTTGCATCATTTTATATTCCATCAGCAATGGATGAGAGTCCACTCTCTGTGCCTCCTTGCAAACACTGGTGTTATTAGTCCTTGCATTTTAGCCTTCCAGTGGGGTGTTTTGTTGTGGTTTTCACTTGCATTTCTCTGATGATGAGCAACTTTTCATACTTATTGTACATTCTTATATTTTCCTTTGAAAAGCATCTTTTCAAGTCATTTGTCCATTTACTTAATGTGGGTTTTTTTGGTTGTTGTTTTATTATAAGCTTTAAGAATACTTTATAAATTCTAGATATAAGCATTTTATCAGATATATGTACTGCAAATACGAGGTGTGATCTAACAATACGGTGAATGTTTAAGTAAAAAAAAAATGATTGCAGTAAAAGATACATTGCCATTAATCCCCCTCAAAATACTCCCCCTCTCTTTGAACACATCCCATCATTCTTGCCACTTTCTGAAGCAGTTCTGGAAGTCCTCTTTCATAAATGTCTTTAGTTGCACTGTTGTGGCTGCCTTGATGTCCTGAATTATTTTGACTTTGGGAAAGAGCCATAAGTCACACAGTGCCAGATCCGGTGAATAAGGTAGATGAGGACACACCATAATGTTTTTATTTGACAGAAATTGCCGTATACCAGAAGCGATGTGTGACACGGAGCGTTGTCATGATGGAGGATGATTTACAGCACACTTTGAAGCACACCTTCTCTCAACCGTAGCTCACACCCGACTGACTGCTCCGAACAAGTTGTTACTAAGGTTCAACGTGTCGCTATCCATATTGAAGATCCTTGCCTTTCTGTTGGATGGCACTCAGTGGCAGCATTCACCATATTTTGTGATCACAACAGAAAGGCTCCATGTCACACATCGCTTTTGGTACGGCAATTTCTGTCAAATAAAGACATTATGGTGTGTCCTCATCCACTTTGTTCACTGGATCTGGCACCGTGAGACTTCTGGCTCTTCCCCAAAGACAAAGTGACCATGAAAGGTAAACATTTTTAATAGATTCAGGACATTGAGGCAGCCACAACAGCATAACTAAAGACAGTCATGAAAGAGGACTTCCAGGGCCGGCCGAGTGGCGCATTGGTTAGGAACTGGCTTGGGACGCCAGAGGGCCCTGGTTCGGATCCCACATATGAGGGCCAGTGACACTGCCCTCTATAGCTAAGATGGTGAATGGCAGCTCGACCTGGGGCTGGGCTGCTGTGGGTCGCCGGTGACAGCGTAGGCTGCAGTCCCCTGCTGTAGTGGGTTGCCATAAACTACTGTGTGTAGCCGGCGGCCAGCATGAGCAGCCAGCAGCCGCCGTGAGTGACCGTCCAGAGGCTGGCGACTGATGTGCCTCGCCCGGAAAGAGCGCAATGATGGTGCCTGCTTGGGCCAATGAAGCAACATCCTCCGCAACTAGACTGAAGAACAAAACAACAGCAACTTGTCTGTTCCCCTTCCCCCAATTCCCCAGCACTGTTCCCATCCCCCCAATTCCCCAATAAAAATCTTAAAAAAAAAAAAAAAAGAAAGAGGACTTCCAGAAAGTGGCAAGAACGATGGGATAAGTGTGTTTGAAGCGAGGGAGAGTATTTTGAGGGGGATTAATGGCAATGTGTTTTTTACTGTAATAATTTTTTTATTGTTACATTCACCCTATTTTTTTATCATACCTCATATATTCTGCCAGTGTGTAGAGCTTGTCCTTTCATTTTTTATTAACACTGTATACCACTGATTTTCCATA